TGATCGTTGTCTGTCCTAAATAAACAACGAAATATTATCTATTGTATTAACTAAACATTTCTTAATGATCGTTGTCTGTCCTAAAATATTATCTATTGTATTAAACAGGAAATTGGAAAAACCAAATATTTTTTATTATCGTTGCCTGTCCTAAGCAAACAACGAAATATATTATCGGGATTCGATACTTCGAATTCTTGGTATAAATACGAGTAAAAATTATGGAAGTAGTTAGTCTTAAGAAACATTTCAAATAAAGTAGTAGCAGAAGCTACACAAAAAATAATAGTTTATATTTAATTTACACATCACATCAGCATCAGCATCAGAACTGCACGTTAATAAAAAAATTAAAAATGGAAAAAAATTATGCAAAACCCTGCGAAAGAACAGATTGTCAAATTATGGATGCGTAAATTTGCCACTGACATGCGCGAGCAATTTCACAATTTTCCAAATAACAGTGCCGTATAATTACCGGGGCGTTGAAGAAGAGGCGTTTGAATAAGCATTAAGTATTTAGCATTACGGATTACGGATTGATGTTGGCATACAGAGTAACACTCTAACGCCATCACATTATTGTCTAGTACTTGTGTTCTCTCGTTGCAGTTCCAGTGTTGTTGTTGTCTCTGAAAAATTTTAAAACTCTACTAAATTTCCCTTTTCGAAAACTTTCGCGTGTAATTTACACCAAATAAATCATAAATTTTTTTTTTGCTCCTTAATTCTGTGTCTTCCATGTTGTGTGTATGGATAACTTTGTGCTGCACGATTATGAAAATTCACAATATAGGTGGGCGTGTGTACGGTTGCAGGGACACTTGCTAGTATTATCGTGCCGTCAATGAGTTAAGTATTAATTTTAGCATACAAGAACTAATAATTATATATATGCAATATGATATGTGCAGATTTCGCATTGTGTGGATAAGGTACAAGATATGTTACGGGTACACATATAGAGAAAAAGTTCTTTCTTTTTATTTTTTTTTATAAAATTGTAATAAACACTTCCTCACTCCATTTAAACTTGATTGTAAGAATAATAGTTCTGCAAACTATTTAGGGTATTCTTAAAATTATGATGTATTGCATCACCAAAATATTTCCGCGAAAAATTTAAATTTTATGTATTTTTAAAGAATTCGCTCTGATCATATTCGTATTAGAAATTCAAATAATCACTAAATAACATATCACACACAGTAAAAGGTCTCGGATTACTTAGTCTCTTTTGCATGGATAACACCTTTAAGAATAAAAATTTTTTATTATTACTTAGTGTAATTAAAACTCTTTTCTGTACGCGCAAAATTTGGCTGACAATGAGTGTCTGCTAAACCGAATTTTAATTGTGTATTTAGTGATTTTGACAGTACAGATTTTTGTTATAGACTTTCTTTTAGATCTTCTAGCATTGTGAAATCACACAGTTACCTTTTCAAACTTCATTGATTAACATAATTCATACAAATATATTATGTTGCTTGATATAGCAAATAAATGGGCATCACTACTAACACATCCATTATTATATCATATATTCAGTTAAAGTAGCAATCATAGCCAAGTCAGACGGAAAGGTTAGCTAAGAAAGCCATTTTGATTTTCTCGAGAACATTTCTCGTAATTGTAGGCAGAAGGATGGACATATGGTATTACAAACAGCCGGACACATTGATAAATGCAAGTATCTAGCCAGTACTGATTTTGAAAACATTGTCATGTTTTAAAGAATGGAGCACCTAACAGCATAAGCCTGGTTCTAGAGAAGTCTGGACATAGGCATAATAGGTGCTCCGGTGTTTGCGGCGTTAGACATGTAGTACACGATATTCAACTGAGCGTATTGATCCTGACTCCATAGTCCAGTGCTCTATTAGAACAGCTTTTAATCTAAATACTTGCTTCTATGTATCAAGCCCGAAATTCTACATTTGGTGTATATAAACCATATAGCTCTCAGCCTGGCTGATTGTCGCAATAAATGGTTTTAATCAACCTATTTGCTAATGTGACTGACAAGGATTGAAATGAGAGGTTCCATAGTAAAGGCTCCAAATCTAGCTTGCTCATTTTGCAGTTTTAGATCGCAGTTAGGACTCAGTACTGGTAGTTTCCAATAAAATTATTTTAGAACTATTGTTGTTTTTAAACCTAATAACATTGGTAAATTAGTTAATCAGCATTTTTTATCGATTAATTATATTATTATGAGATTCTACATGTTTGGAACTTTTGTGCTAAAGTATCTTAACTATTTGAAAATCTGCCTATAAACATCATGTTGTGGCTTAATAAAACTATGGTTGAAAATGGTTTTGAGTCGTGTGAGTTTTATATGACCACGAAGTAAATCAAGCTTATGGCCAGGATCATCGTAATAACCCAATCAATCGCTGAAAAGGCTATTATGTATACTTGTTTCTTTTCTAATGAAATTTTGATTAGTTTATTGGCTTATTTATGATAGTAAATTCTGTTAATTTTGTGTCTCGAATGATATTGAACGATCAATTTTTTTACCGAAATTAAACTTTTTAGCAATAAATACATATCCCTGCATGTACTTACATACAATTAATTGTGTTTTGAAAAGAATGTATATTTAACATAATTTATACAAAGAATAGATTTAAGATTTTCATGTGAAGGTTATAAATTAATTTAGCGAACTTCATTTGTTGATATCGGGTAGCGTTCATTATTCAAACTCATCAAAGCAATACTGGAATAGATAATAGATGTTCTTGGTCCTCTTTATTTCTTTATTTTTACATTTCACATTTTCTTTCTTTCTTTGTTGTTAGTTTATGTGCGTTACGAATTAGTGAATATTTGTGAAATTTGTTATTTTTTTTTTTGCCGTATTCATTCATTCGATTCGCTTTTCCCGCACGCATAAAAATTTAACAGAGTTGTGAGGAGTATCAATCAGGGTTTTTGTACCCCTTTTTCGCTATGATTTGCTATTGCTTTGTTATTGCGGTACTCTCGCCTTGACTAACTTTGTTATATACAATCATTATTACTACTATTATTTGCTATGCTTTGTTCGATTTGTATAAGTATGCGTTTATATTAGTGTGTGTGTGTGTGTGTGTGTGTTTGTGTATTTCTCTATTGTCATGCTCCATTTATTCGGGTGTGGACGAACAGATGTTCTATTTAAACGGGCATTATTATTATTTTATTTGGCATACGGTTCAATACGGAAGAAACGGTGTGATGAAGTTTAACTTGCTTTTAATGTTGTTCTTCATATTGTTGTTGTTGTGTGATGCTGAGGCTATAGCTAAAAACGAGTCAAATGATATTGTTTTTGTTTTATATTGCTACTGTTGTTGTTGTTGTTGTTGTTGTTGTTGTTGTGATGTTGGTGATTTTGCTGATGATGAGGATGACGATGACTATGAGTATGACATTGCCATTGATGTTGTTGTTGATTCGTTGATTCGTTAAAGGCGGTTGATTAGGGTGAATTAATGGTCATGTAAGGTGGATTATGCGATTGAATACGAAAATAATTACGTTTGAAATTCGATACAGAGAAATAGAGCAGAACGTAACGAATATTAAAACAAATTGATACAGGTGGACTGGCGAACTGGCGGGCTGGCGGACTAATACATTTGTGGAGGGTGCTATCGGATGATTAATAATGCTGCTACTATTGAAGGTGGACAATATATAAATTTATATGTATAAATTACTAAAAGGGGTGTCAATGGGTGTCATGTCGTCATTTGTTTGCAAAGTAAACTTTGATTTCTCGCTTCACTGTGATTAAATTTCAAAGTTCTTTCTTTCGGGCTGATATGCGTATCATAATGGGCGTGATAGGTATACATAATCGTAATTACATTCATGTGAGCAATTATATTTTATTTATTTAATAATATATACATATGACTTTTTTGTTTTTAATGTGTTCTGATGATAGAGAGAAGAAAAAATAAATTGGTGTTAAAAAGGGAAAACCGAGCTTCAGTTTTAAAGTCTAAGTCCTAACTTAAAAATTTAATTAAAAAAATTTCTTAAGATTATTTTGGCACCTGAAAGAACCCAGTAGCTTATTCTATTTGTAAAAAGAATTTTTTGATTTTGGGTTATTTTTAAAATGAGAACTACTAAAACTAAAAATAAGAAGACTGAACTATATGCAGGCATCTGTACGCAAGTTGGCCGCGTTCTTTAAAGAAAAAATTCCGCACTCTCAGTCTTAAGGTAGTTTTGTTAATGGATCACAGCCGATTAGGAAACCATGCTAGAAGGTCGAATCTCTCGTTTAATCATTCTCGTCGCAGTTGTAGAAAAGATGATGAAAGTACCTCAAATCTTGTTTGGTACTGCCCAGTACATGTATACGCCATTTTACTGTTTTAGGAACAACCAAAAGTTCAAAGTCGTTATCAAGTCTCTGAGTTTTTATAATTGGTAAGTTCTTAGGATAACTGGTGTACTCTAATCTAACTTATTGTAGTATTTATAAGTATAAAATGAAAGTTTAAAAAGCAATCTATCGCTTATAAACGTTGTTATCTTCTGTTGTTCCTTTTGTATGGTCTTCCTTTAGCTGTGTAACTTTTCTGTCTAATTCAAGAAATCAGTTAATTGTAAGAGTGCAGATCAGTAATTTTTTGTTGAGATTGGCACTTAAGCCACAACAATTTCTTTCTTCTTCAGTGATAAGTAATTATTTGAAATGGTATTTTGTTACTTGGTTACTTGCATACTCATTGTAAATACTCATGGTATTTCCCATATTACATACTGAAAAATTTCACAAAACAAAAAAAAAATGTTGATAAATATTTATTCTATAATGACGTAGAAATTAGTGTCGGTTCACTAGTATATATGTAGGACCAGCTATAGGTTTAGCTTACAAATAATAAACTAAGCAATTATAATTAATATGCGGTTTGCTATTTATCTGTATTTAAATGTATCAGTTTGCAATATATTTTTATTCTTTAAATTTTATTTCATTTTAGATGAACTTGCTTTTGGTATCAATAGACTAGTCAAAAGTGAACACCTAACACCACAGGTATCGATAGCTAATGGCGTGGTGGCAGCAACAACTCCAATTTCAGTTAATTCCAAATTGGAAGAGGATAATAATAATTCTATATGTATGCCAAGTAAAAATCCAATACTACATTGGAAGCTACAAGCTGCTGAGGAGTGTCGCTATGAGCGCGCCTCACGTTCGCGATCACGTAGTCATTCACGTACGCCTTCACAGATCGATTTAGATGATGATAGCAACCAATGTCGGCGGTCACTACAATCTCGGTCGCGTTCCAGTTCAGTCGAACTTGAAGTAGACTCTCCACCACCACCATCGCATACGCGTTCAAGCCCGATTAGTTCACCACCTTCCGCATCTGAAATGTTAATTAGTACGAGTCCCAAAAAGTCTGAAATGTTTTCGGTATCTGCGTTACTGCGCCGTGATGAACCGCAACGACTAGCAGAAAAATCACCCACAAGCTTACCACCTGCAAATCCATTCGAAGCCTTCCGGAATGCATACCCAACTAATTATGAGCCGCCAATGTTTCAACGACCATTATTGTCGCCTGCATTTCCATTTTTTGCAGCATTTGCGTTCCATCAGGGGCAACAATCTGGACTGGCTTCAAAGTAAGTAGCCCAATTAGTACAGGAATGTGATGCAACCACATTACGAAATATATTTTAAGTATATGTAAAAAGCAATCAAGTGGCAACCGCACAAAAACTTAATTAAATGTTTTTTATTTCTTTCCTATATTAACATTTTTTAGTCATTTTTAAATATTTAATTACATTTAATGCTTTTTTCCTTCCACTTCTATTCCGCCTATTCTTTGTTGACGTAGCTATCATCCCGCCTCGCAAGAAGACCTTTTTCGTTTGAGAAATTTAATGGTGCCACTGCAGGCTGGTCAGAATGGCGCTGGTGGAGCGGCTGGTGTGCCACCGAATTCCCATTTAGGACTACCACATCCACCACACCTGCATTTTCATCATATGGCCAAATGGTCGGGACTACCGCAATTCAGTGACCTTTATTCGTGCATGAAGTGCGAGAAAATGTTCTCAACACCGCACGGACTCGAGGTACATTCACGACGTACGCATCATGGCAAGAAACCTTACGCCTGCGAATTATGCAACAAAACTTTCGGACATGAAGTCAGCTTGAGCCAACACAGGTACGTTATTGCTGTTAATACTGTTCTTATTGCTCTTCTACTTGTTGTTTTTTGTGTTACTGTAGTTATTGTCTATGGGTCTATGGCGTGTTTACCATTTAACAAACATGTAACTGCAATAGTCCACACACAGAACAGTGCCATAGATGTGCTTAAATTTTTGAATTTTTAATGACTCCACAATGTACGCTCGTACTTAGCTTTGGGAGGTGTGGTTACTTTGGGGTATTGAAATTATTTAATTTAACTTAAATGTTGGATTTGGTTTTTGTCTGCTGTATAATTGCACTTATGTATGTAGCCACATATTTGTTGCTGTTAATGGCAGGGTATAAGTTATGTTAGTCGAGTGAGCTTAGAGGCAGTAAGAAATCACTTAGCAATTGCAGAATGTTTTGTCTGTGTGATGGTTCATATTAAGCCCTTAAACAGCTCTTAAAAGTTTATTAGAAGCAAGTATATTAAAAAACTCAATTCGTACAAAAACTGGCATAATTAAGAAAAAATTTTTTCTATATGTATATGTATGAATATGTATATAAGTATATGTATTGTCATGCCTTCACTCCCTTTCTAGCTAAAGGCTTTAAATAACTTAACACTTACACATGTCTATGGATTTGTAAATTCCATTGCAAAACTGCAATTATTTTGTTATGTACTTTATAAATACTTAATATACATATTTAAAAAGTGTTTACACCTACTATTTTTTATTAAGAACCTCTCCGACTATAGTAAAGTATCTGGTCGGTCGAAAATTTTGAAGCCTCACCCAGGCTAATTAAATCCATCACATTAATTTTCAGGTTACTATGCCCAGGCTTAAGGGGAGTTTTGGTGATGTGTGAGTGAAAGTGATTGAAAATCAGTTATATTATTAAAAACGCTATACTGATTCCTATCTTTGAGGTAAGTTCCTCAGTCCAGTCTATCTACATTATATACATATTCTAACTTACATGTAGTTTTGATTTTTGTTTTCTAATTTAAGATAATTAAATATCTTGAGGAATGCATTTGTTAAAATATAAAAGAAAGTAATATTAATGTCAGTATTAGGTACGTCTGTCCGCATGATAGAATATATAATGAAATAGATTCCACATTTCAAATATGTTTAACTCATAAGATAGATTTAATCATAAGATTAAATAAAGGTATTAAAACTATTAAAAAAGACAAAGATGCCTTTTCATTGGGTTGTTAGCGACAATAGGGGCAATATTATAGTATATTTTTCCAAAAAAAAGTTATTTTTGAGTAAAAGAAATGAAAGTCAAATAACTCCTTATATTGATTACAATTTAAATATATCTAGAATATAAAATTATTGAATTGAGGTCAAATTTTAAGCTCTTTTCATTGGTTTGGACTCAAGAAATAATTAGTTTAATGTAATTTTGAACGGATCAGAATATTTTTTAAACAGTGAAGTAACTTGTAGGAATAACTTAGTTATAATAATTATTAAGGATTAATAACTTTAATTAAGCATCTAAGGCAGTGCGTTCGTTTCCACTAAATTCTAAAGGAATTATTAAGAAAACTGTCGATTTGTTATCAAAAGTTGAAAGGAAATGGTTTTTCGTCGAGGCTAAATAATATTTAGCTGTCATTCAATGATTTGTCGTTTTGATATGTTTTATATCAGACAAGAATTCAGTATAATTATGAAGATGAGGTAATCGTTGATAATATAACATTAAAGTCGAAGAACAAATAAGTAATGGTTAGTAAACGGCATTCCTAGTTTAAAACCAACCTATACTTTCGGTAATGCAGATTATTAGTCATTAGTTAGTAGACTTCCACAGTGTAGCGTCTTATTCTAATACGAAAGTACAAATAGTACCTAAACTGAGAACTTTAGCTGAGAACATTATACCTATCAGTTAGTGGGCTTATGTTAACTTACAATGAATGTATTTTAGGATTGTGAATATTAAGTTACTTTATTTCTGACAAATACATTATTGATAATATTAAATAGTAAAAATTTATAAAAGAATTTTCTTATCTGTAAATCTTAAATTTCAATTAGTAATAGCATCCCGGAGTATACACTGGAATGGGAAAGTTTTAATAAATCGCACAGTAACGCACTATAAACCTATTATTCTGCAATTATAAACCATATTTTATTGATGTTAATATTTCATAGAATATATTTCAACAGAAGGACACAAAATTTAAAAAACTAAATAAATAAACGGTATTAACTAAAGAGATCAGAGGAAATTGAAAACTGAAATGTGTGCTTACAGTGTCTGTAATATTTTTTTGCATAGTTAATTACCATAAAATGAGATGTGTCCATAAATTAGTAGAGGCAATAAAAGTTCAGATCCAGAACTTACACTGATTTCACTGTTGTAGAGCATGTATTACATCATGTATATAATAATATGATATGAAATTTGTCATTAGTCATGATATGAAATTCGTTAAGAAGCTAAAATAATAAAAGTAAATATCTGATTATAATTAAATTATTATGTAAATAGAGTAAAAAGATAATAAAATATATAAAGAAGAAAAATTATTGCAAATTTCTTCAAGTTTCTTGATGATTTCTTATTTATATTTCATAACAGCTGAATGGTCAGCCAAAAATTCAATTAATTAAAATAATCTAAAAAATAAAATTTTTGTTATTGTAGTTCACTATTGTTCGAAAAAAACCTCTTTATTTCATATAAATAAATTATATAATTTATGATTTAGTTTTTGATTATCTATGATCATAATATTTTTTTATTTTATGTTAGAAAAATATATGTACCTAATTAATTAATTTTTTTAATGCTGTTTTAGAGCTGTTCATAACGTGGAAAAGGTTTTTGAATGCAAACAGTGTGGAAAACGCTTCAAACGGTCAAGCACCTTATCCACACATCTGCTAATACATAGCGATACGAGGCCGTATCCATGTAACTATTGTGGCAAGCGTTTCCATCAAAAGAGCGATATGAAAAAGCATACCTACATTCATACAGGTTAGTGTACAAGATATTTTATATACGTGTACTCATATTATATATATCATAATGAATATAATTATTATAATTGCAAAATTAAACAGCAAAGCAACAACGAAAGTTCAAGCCTATTCACATGACAAAAACTTATTTTCTTTTGCTTCTGATGCGAATTAAATTAAAGTTGTTGTCCATGGATTTGTTGTTTCCAAATCTACATATCGAAAATTGGTTTTAGAAGGAAACTTTTTGTTTAGTATCTTTCTTCAAAACCATTTTCTTCATATATAATTTTATTGTTATATGCATGTCTCTTCAAGTCCAATGGCTCATGCCATACTGGAATAGTTTTTGTGAATTAATTTTGGTTAGCTCATTTTTGATTTTTTTTACATTTGATGAATTCTATAGATAGAAAAGTAAAAGACATATTTTAAGAAGTCATTTAACATTTATTTTGTTTTTCACAAATTTTATATAAACTTTTTAGTTTCGCTGTTCACTGTTCCGTTCTGACATTAAGCAAAAAACGCCAGTGTAAAGTGGGGTGCAGACTATCATACTGGTGTGTCATACGAGTTGCGCTCTCTCTTGCTCAAATTTCTTCTAGCGACCGAATTTGAACAGGTATGACACACAAGAGTAAGCAAAATTTTTGAAGAGTGCTTTTGCGGGTAGTGCTGTGAAAATTTGTGTGTTTAAAATAAAATTTTAAAATTGAAAAAATTGATAGTTAACGTATAGGTTGTGCTTTGCTTATTGATTATAATGTTGTATATTTTATATATGCCGCGTTTTTTTTTGCGATCTTTATATTCACAGCTTTGGACATCCCACAAACAGCGATTACTTTTATTAACATTCGATGAAAGCATCTAAAATGCTTTATCTGCATCCATATTCATATTTTTTTTAGGTTTATTGGTCATTAAGCACAGTAGTTAAAATGAAAAGATCAGTAAAGAACCGTAGTTAATTTCATTCACTACCTGTAAAGTTTCTTAAGAAATTTTTCATAAATAGATCATACAAATAATGTATATATATATATATACATAAGAATGTATATATCTTCATTGTTTTTCAAGAAATTTGATCATTTCCATATTTTTGTTAGTTAAAGGTTATTAACATTTAAAATTCTTTTATTTTAATAACAAGTTTTAACAAAGAAAAGCATATTTAGAATACAAAGTATTATATCTTAAATTTGGGTTATTAATTAATTAATTAATGTATTACGACCAATTTTCAATATGTTTTTTTATTACTGGGCTTAGATCATAAATTTAACGATGTTTATATTTAGATGTTTTTTTAAAAAAAATTTTACTTATAATCATCGTTCATAAATTAAAATAAAATAAAATAAAATATTTAATAAACTAAATAAAATATTTAATATATTACATAAAATATTTAATTGTATTTTAATTTTTTATAAGAATTTATATTTTTTTTAACTAAGATACAATTAAATATTTAACAAATTTATAAGTGTAATTTTAATAACAATAAATATAATAATAATAAATACATTAATAATAAAATAATAAAAAACATATTAAATTTATATTATAATTCTACATATTCCACCTGCTTACAATAAATTTGCAAGGCAAAAGTGCTCTTGTATGACGTATGAATCGTTAGGGGTGACAGACTATCATACACAACGCGTATGCGAGAGCTGTTCACCAAAATTTTGGTGAGCACGCCAACACGTTGGTAAAGGTGGCAGACTATCATACATGTGTGTCATACGACGTTTTTCTCTCTCGTATGACATACCAGTATGATAGTCTGCACCCCACTTAAATGTAAAATAAATACATAATATCAAAAAAAGACAGTAGATAAATATTGTGTATGTATTATTTTCAATTCACTGAATGTAGTTAAGTGTAGCAAAATGTGCAAAAACTGTTATAAAAACTAATTTTAATCCTTACTTTTACTCAAGTGTGGCTTGGGTCACTTGCCAATTGTTCCCGCGAAAATGTAGTGTAAATGCCGATTTAATTCAGTTTCTAGAATCTTGATTAACTTTTACCCTGTATATAGTTTGTCGAGACTTGAATACTTTTAATTAAATATATAAAAATTTGTTCAATAAATAACTTAATATCTAATTTTCACGTGATCTTCTCACCACCATGTATATAAACATATACATATCTACAAATCTGTAAATGGCATAATATTATTTAAATACGTTTTTTGTTTTATTGAGTATTGTGTATTTTCATTCGTTCACAATATTATTTTAAAAATAAATATTCGAATTATTTTAAATGGGTTTATTTATTATTATGTTAAAGCTGTTTTGAGCTAGTGCTAAGCACTTATACTCTTTTTTAACTCGAGGTATTTTTAAAACCCCTCTTTACATCTTGACTAGATTATTACAGAATAAGCAATAATTGATCTCAGATCTGCACACCTCCCCGAGGAGCCTGTAACCATTTTGAGATTTGATAACGCGTTGTTGGTAGGTCTGTCAGTTTTCGCAAATAATTTCAGGGCTCTATCCTTTTTATATTTTTTGATGGGATCAATCTTGATATCCCTGGTGATATCATTCGTCCCAATGTACCATGGAACTTTGAAAAGTCTTCTCAGAGTCTGGCTTTGTGCAATTTCTAGCTGGTGAATAGTAGTGTTTGAAGCTTTGCTAAACGCTACATAACCATATAGGAGTGACGGACGAATTATTTGGTAATATATCAGTTTCCTGTTTTTAACATTGAGATTTTCATTTCTGAATAGCGGTTGGAGGTAATGAAGAATTTTGGCACAGCGAATTCTTTTCAGTTTAATATGTTTAAGCCATGTGAATCGTTTGTCCAACGTGATGTCATATTTCTCAAGTATGTTGAAAACAACTGAGAGTTTAGACGAAGCAATGGCCGAAGCTAAAACGAAAAAAAAGTTGTGTTTTTTAGTTGGTCTTTACAGGCATGAGTCGTTTTTGACCGCATCCAATAGCCTCCGTTAGCCAAAATGATCAGCGCCTTATAGTTTAGTACTTTCCCTCATCAGATGTTACAATTTTAATGAATGATTAGTATTAGTATTGAATACTGATTAGTATTTTGAATTTATTTCAACTGCTTATATAATTCCCTAAAGCAAGCTTTCAAAAAAATTGCGACAACAAAAAATTTGCAGCCCCAAGTAAATGCTGATGACACTTATTGTAAACTCAAACTACCACCACTGCTGTCACCCCGTAATACTGCCATGCAGCAACCCCAACATTACAGTAGCAAAAACGGCAAAAAAATCAGAAATAAACTGCAATGGAGCACATGAAAAAGCTCAAACATAAAAGAGCGCCATGCTGAAATCTGACACAAAAGCACTTATACACACAGAACAAACATAAAGCCATATTTCGCTTAAAATGGCTGACAGGTCATACCACATCTGCAATTGATTATTAACAAAAGTAGTAGCAAACGTGGTAGCGAAAAGTATGAAAAGTATGAAAATAAATTAAATTGCGAAAATAACTCAAAAGAATTGAATGAAATTTACAAAATCTGTTTAACTGTCGCTAACGCTTTGGAAATTGTCATGAATATAATACGCACACACTTGCACTGTGTTAAAAGAGCGCAGACTAAGCATGCACTAACACATTGTACATTTTGTTTTGGTATATATGCCGTAAGCAACGCATACTAGCGCAGACACACTACCCAGCACAATACAAAGAAATCACAGTCAACCAATGAAAAATTTAGTCAAGGGATTTTGATTTTCTACTTTATGCTTTGGACAGTGTAAATGTGTAAGTACACTACGCACACAGTAGTAATAATTCCTATGGCATTACAACAAAAGTAATAATAACAATTATGGCATAACTGCATGAACACATCCCCAATTTTGGTGTTCGCACTGTCTGTTGTATGCGCCATATCGGCTCCACACTATGTAACACTTGTGTGTTCACACAAAACGATTATAGTGTCTCCGTACAGTTTGTAAGAAAATTGTGTTGAATTTAAAAAAAAATTTTACAAAAAATTTAACTGTTTCCTATCAAAGCAAAAACAAAAATAAAAATAATAAATGTCAGCTATGAAATTTATATGTCAGCTGTAGTTTCCTACACGTCCTTGTTCTACATGTAGGTATATATTTGTGCGCCAGTTGTCATACTGCTTCGCTATGTACACACAGCCCCATTTCTTATAATGTGCTTTCATCTACTATACTCGATAGACTGAAATGTGTTTGTGAGCGAAATCTCACAATAGTCAAGCGGCCGTGGAAACAAATAGTCAACTACATACCATAGTTGTCAGAGGTGCTCGTTGCTTGTGCTACGCTGCTTTTCACGACTGTCAACCGTTACTCAACTAATCCAACCAACTAGCCAGCACTCGTCGCTGTCACCACCGCACCACTGCGTCCATACCCACGGAACATATGTTGTTTGCTTCATATGCTCCGTGGGTACGTTTAACGTTGTTTTTTGTTCTTTTTTCTGCCTAAAGTGTGTCGCTTCTTAGCTGATTTTTTTGCTGATTTTCTTCATTTCGTTTTTATGCTTTCTTTCTGACTTCCATCTTTGTTTTTACATTTTCACATTTCCGTAAATCAGTTTAGCAAATAGCAAGGATAATAGCTTTAACTCCAAAGTGCTCGAAGCAAATCAGAAAAACTTTGCACAGATATTCCAGACATTTTTATCGTTTTTGTCTTCGATTTAGGATTGTCTGTTTTACGATTTATATTTTTATACATTTTCTTTACACATTTTTTGTTATTTTTTTTTTGCTTTTCATTTAACTTAAATGCTGTTACCAGGATTTGGATTGCTTCATTTTATTTTATTTTATTTTTCGCTTAAAAAAAACGTAACTGTCTTGTTGGCATGTTTATGTAGCATTTGTGTGGGTTCATAATTTGGCATGGAGCATGCACAACTGTTGGCATTTAGTGTACTTTTACTCCTTCCTCTTCCACACCAAATCGTTTATATATCTGCTTAAGCAAAATATATA